AGGTCCCCCTCCCCCAGGGAAGGCCCGGGCTGCCCGCAGGAGGTGAGCCGAATGAGGGAGGTCATCGCACCCACCTGGAGGCATTTCCCGCGTGGTGTAGGCAGAGGATAAGGGCAGTTTCTCCAAAGTAAGGGGCGAAAACTTACAGAAAGCATCTAACAGTGCCGATTTTTTTGTTTGTTTGTTTTCCGGAAAGCATGCAGTTATTCAGCAATGTTGTGATTATTGCAGAACGCCCGTAGCAGATCCAGCTATTCCGGATAATACCATGTTTGTTTTCATGGCAGAATTTATGAAATCCAAAGCTGAGGGTGTACTCATCTGTGGTCATTTTGCTTTGCAAAACGTGTGCTGAAAATGAATTCACCTACTGTTCTGTGGGTCCCTTTGTGTTTTTCTAGCTACCGTGTACAGTTATTAGCAAGACAAAAGTTTAATAAGTTTTGTGATGGTTACTGGCTGGATGCAGACATGATGGCAGTGAGAGGGATGAGCCCTGGCACAGCCTCTCCTCTGTCAGAGCGCATCCTATGAACTGGTGCTAATGGGGCAGCAGGTCCCCTGGTACATCATCCTCTAATTAGCACAGTGGTTCATTTTCCTCAGACCACAGCAAAATTACTGTGTTTGGATGATGTGACTATGATATCATAGGGCTGCAGAGTGACTAGTGCTGTTACAGGAACAAAAAAACCCAAGAGTCACTCACCTCTTTTAGCTTTATGGATACATTACGGCTACCAGGTCTCAGCTGCACTTGGCAGGAGTCAGGAGGAGTTTGAAGGAGTAGACAAGAGGCAGATACATAGTGTCGTGTCGCTTCCCCTGCCTGACCCCAACTGGCTGTACAGAGTAGAGGGAAAGGAAGGGGCATAGCTTAAGAAGGTTCAGTTACTTCATTGTAAAGATGTATTTTGAAAAATACCGCTCTGCCTCTCCATGAGTGTGCCCCCAGGAGGGAATTTTCCTCTGAGGCTTGCTGCCACCTCTCTCTCTCCTTGTGATTGCACCTGGTGGTACAATCTAGCCCCATAATAACGCTTATCCTTTGGGAGATAGAAGGTAAAATGGAAAATTTGCCTGGCAGGGTTCTCAACCTGTCATAAAACGTTACAATTTAAAGAAACCACATGAGGAGAGGGTGCAATACCTTCGGGAGTGCCCAAGTTCATGCCGCAGCTGGGGACAGCTGTGGTCTCTCGGAGGAGGGGTGTTGGCAGGGCATTCCTTCCGAGAGGGCCGTGAATTTGGCACTTTTTGCCCTGTCCGGGTGAGGACTTGCTCAGATCGGGCACACTGTAGAGCTGTCTGTGTGGCAAGGGTTTCAGAAAGGGTGAGAGTATGTTTCTCGTAATGATGGCGTGGACAGGAGTCTCAGGGGGTATGTAGCTGGCTGGCTGCCTCCAGGGAAGGCAGCTTTACTGCCACTGGGACTCTGTTACTAAAACCATACCAGGATACCAAGTGTCTCAGTTAATCCTATTTCTTAGTATTTTTCTGTAAATACCAGTATTCAGATTACAAAACAAAAAAAAAAAAATTGCCCCTGTGAGAAATTCTGAGGTTTTTACATGCATTTGGAATCCAGATAGAAATAATGGTGTAGTTTTGCAAAATGAAACACATCAAAATGTTTTAATTTGTTGTCGGTGTTTCAACTTTTATGGGAGACTTCATTATGTCATATAATTGCATAAAATTCAAGCTGGTGAAATGACAATTGAATGTTTCCTCAATTCCCTGTGAATGAATCAAAACAATTTTCATAAAATACTGTTATTTTGTCAAATCAGCATTTTTCAAGAGCCATGAACATATTTTGGAAAATTTTCAGTCATTTCCAATGGTAACCATATAATCAATATTCATAAGACATTTTGGTGACTAGAACTCCATCCACCAGGATGACAGAATCTGACATTTAACACATTAAGATCAGGAGAGATCATTTTTAATAAAGCTTTGGCGTAGATTGAAGCCACCGTCGTTACCACAGGCTTCGTCTGAGATGTTTGTTCTCCTTCGTGTGTGTCCCTGTGAAGAAGCATATTAATACTATGGGCATCATGTTACTTTCGTAAATCCCATTTTTCTGTTTTGCTGGTATATCTCATTTTCTGAAGTGTCTCGGCAGCATTTCAATTTTTCCTCAGTAATCTTTTAAATATAAACAGCATTACTGTTTTCTCATGCTTGTTAATGTTATATTCTGATTGTTATTTGTTTTATTTTGAAGGGTAGTGCTAGGAAGATAATGAAGCTGAAAACAGACTGATAAATAATAGCCACACTCAAGAAAATATTGTCTTGAGGATTTTAGAAATCTGATTAAAACATGTACATGAATAAGTAGATATTGCTGTTAAAATGAAATAATTTACTGTTCTAAAAGCAGTTCAATAATTGTGCGTGTGCGTGCGTGTGTATTCCTATTAGAGCGCAGCGGTTAGAGCTAACAGCCCACTACTCGTTCTTTTGAAATTCAAATGCATAATCATCTTTCCATTATCTAGGTCAATAGAAGGCTGGGCTACCCCAGAAAGTGGGAGAAAACAGGTAAAACAGGATTCACTAGAGAGCTTAATGCCTGCCCCCTTGGATGGAGGCTGGTTTTGTGTGTCTGCGTCTACACTGGGCTTCCCAGTGCTCCCTCCAGTTCGGGGGGCTCATGTTGCCCGGAGTGCAGTGCAGCATGAACATATAGTGCCAGTGAGAGCAGTGAGATCTGTGAGGCTGGAAGCTGGCGAGATGCCTCCAAAGGCCTGAAGCTAGCCAGCAGAAAACGCTTCACGCAGGAATATAGCTCCTCTGAATGTGGCCCTATGTGCTTACATCTGCCTCCATCGGTGCTTAAAAAGATAAGTGATCCGTCTTTTTAAGAGACTGGCCTTATGCTGTTCTTGCAAGATTTTGCCTACCAAACAAGAATTAAATACGGGCAAAAAAAAGTTTGTTGTTGAAGAAACAGTGTTCTAGAAAAAGTGGAGGATATTCCCTCTCCTTACAGTGCCTGCTCTCCGTGTTCGGTTTAAATAAACTGAAAAGCCAAGATTTTTACTGTGCTAAGTCTGAAGACAAATAGTACTACGAGTGCAGTGTTCTCTCAGTTATTTATTTATGCCTGTTCTGAACTGTGCTGCAGATTTTTGTCTGGAGAGCCCAAAATGACTTTGCATGGGGAACGTGTGGGAAAACTGGAGTTACGCACCTTCTGCAAGGTGTGGGAAGTGGTTTCAATCACAAGCTGTAGATTCAAAATGGAGGAAGAAAGAATTACAGTGTCAAGAGAGCTTTGTCTTAACGGGAAACATATGATGAAGTCTGAACGGAGGGGTCACACCCGAGGTTAGATCACAGACACATTTCCTAGGGATCTTTTCTGGAATAAACATAAGTTCCTTGAGTCTTGCAGTCATGAGGAAAAAACAAGCTGTGGTCTTACCTTGTGTTAGCTAATGCAGGGTAAAATAGTGGAAAGGCACACCGGCTGTGCTTTTTAAGATTTGGTGAATCTTCCCTTCCCTAGAGTTTTTATCTTAAGCTGCTAATTCACATGAAAAATTCAACTTCCTTGTCATCGCTAGGAAGGCGGCGTCCTCTCCTGTCTTTTCAGCTACTGTATGCTAGCTATGGCACGCTCTTGGAGTTGAGATTGTGTATGACTGTGGTTTCCACAAAGCTTTACTTTGTTTTGAAAGTAAAAGTATGTAGGCACCTGGAGCTGACACGCTTAACAACGGAGTTTCAGAGTGAGAGGTGAAGTGCGCTCATTCAACTGAAATCAAGTAATCATTTGAGATGATGAACTAGTTTAGTCAAAATCCAGAAAAACTCAATTTACATCCAATTTGAAGCTAAATATAGACAAAGGTATCCAGATGTACTTAACCTTGATTTTGTGTGCCGAAATCTTTATTTTGCCAAAAGCACATGCCTCGGCTACAGCTATGGTGAGGGCAGTACAGGGGGTGGTTTGCTGGCTGGCCAGCACAGAGTATAGCATCTTTCCAGGCGGTGCAGCCCTCTGCTGCTGGAGAGGTATGCTGTAGGGGTCCAGCTGGAGCCCAGAGAAGCTGTCAGTGGGAGCAGGAGCAGCTCCTCCTAGCTCACCTCCTGCCAGAGCTGAGAACTTGCTCATTGACCGATGCACAACTCTACTCCTGGTCACGTAACAGAAATCTGACAAAAGAACTGCCCTTGAATTGCTCGCTGCCTGTAGGTAGCTCTAGAAGCATCGTTTGACCATTGTTTGTAAAAACACGATCAGCAAAGACATCTTGGGACAAAGAGATTGTGTGCATTGGTTGTAAACTGAAACAATCCAGGAGTTAAAAATTGAACATCGAGCAACCTTATTCTTGCAGCATATGTTGTGTACAAGGTGTATGGCTGGGATTGACTCAGGGTGTCCGAGTCTCGCATCTTCAAGTGTGTTGTTGCTTCACCATCCTCCCCTAAGACATTGTTAGACGACAGTGCTGTCTCACTGGGGCAATATGGATGGGCCATTTCTTCTCAGCCCCAACATATTGATCTTATGCAAGGAGATGTTTTAAGATCCCAAGATGTATCACCATTTTTAGTAATATCATCCTCATAGCAAAGTGCAACTTATTACAAAAAAAATCCAAATGTGTTCTGTGGGCATCATGTACACTGCAAAACCATTTTATGCTATAAGAAATGGCATAGAAAATAGTGTTGGGGTGTTCCACGTACATTGCAACCCTCTCAGAATTTTTGCTTGCAAGACAAAATACTTTTTTTCTTCCTAGTTGTGAGACTAAGACCCAGCTCTGCAAGTCAGGCGGGGTCCCTTCCATCCCACAGATCATTGTAGTAGTAGTAGTTCTGTTTGGCAGATAATTTCCTCAGCCACTTGTGTGTAACCCTATTGATTTGAACGTCTGCCCCCAGCAACACCTGTGCAAATTCACGGATGGCAGTGGGATTGCACAGATGCCATGGAGGGCATATTCTGGCATACAGGATATTTATTACTGGTGGTGATGCATGAGATGGAAGGGATCCAGGACTCAGGCTGAGTTTGTGCAGCTGGCAGTTAGAAATTTACTTGCAAACTGAGCTCATTGGGTAGGAAAATCAGTGTGATAATGAATCCAGAGCCCCCAGTGCCATTTTTACCAAATCACTTTTTAGGGCAGGAGAACAATTTAGAAGAGCTGTGTCTCTTATTAAAAGTGCCTGAAAATTGTACTTGAAAAAAGTGAAGGGAATCCCATAAGAGATTATATTGCAGTTATTTCATATCAGAAATTACTGTTACTAAGCTTGATTAAATAGAAATATTTACTTGTTTCTACTGAAAACTTGAAATATGTAAATCAATGTGTGAATTTAACACAAATAAATTAATTTTAGCTTAATTTTAATTAAATATTTAGTAGCCAGTTACATGAAATTAAAAAGAAAACAATTATTTTTAACAGGTTTTATTTTGATTGATATGAAATCTTCCACAAAATTCAAAACAATTCCAAGTGACAGAGTTTATTCATAATACTATACATTTATATTGTTGGCCTATAGACATTGAAATCCATAGTGTTTTAGCAGGTCTCTTAGGAAAAAGTGTTGTACCTTGAACCAATTATAGACCATCTATGGTTAAATTGCAGAACCAGTTTGCTTAATATGGGTAATTTGATGTTGTAACGTATTTGTCAGTACCCTAGGGTAGTCTCTTAGGGGGCACAGGTTTCACTGTATAGTATTTCACACTCATATGTGCGGCAGTTAATCTGCTTAGGTGGAGACTATTTACAACTCATATAGGATTTGTGACATTATGTACTTAATTTACGCAATATGCTTAAAGCTTCTCTTTATCAAGTCTAGGATGATAATCATAGTTATTGCATTGAATTTGCTTTTTTTTTTTTGGGGGGTGGGGGAAGTCTAATTAGTCCAGCAGGCTTCTTAGAATGTGAAAATTTAGCAAGGACATGCCAAAAATGCATAACAGAATGGTATAGCATTAGACTTCACACCAATATACCCATTAGAGATATAAAGCGTGTTCGCAGTTGAATAGACACAGACACACAGATTTATCATTTACCTTTTCCTCCCTCCTGAAGAACAGTGGAGGGCTGCAGCTGGCCTCACCCTCACTTACAACCAAATAACATTTGAAGCTATAAAATGGACACAGGGTGTTTTCTTTGGCTCCACTGCCTTGAAGGAGGCAGCAACATGACCTGCAGGAAAGACATTTACCATGTCTCATGTCCCACATGCTTGCCTGATTGGGATCTGCTGATCAGCTGCCCTTTGTATATACCATTATAGAGCAAGTGAAAAGCCACTCTGCAGCATAAGCCTGAAAGATATTTAATTTACAGGACTCACGCGGTGAGCAGGATTCTGTAAAATTCTGCGAGAGTTTTGCCAAGAAGGGCCTTGCCCTAAATGCCACCCAGTCCCATGTCATTTCCTAATCACAAAATTGAAGATACTCAGGGGCATGGCCGTAATGTGACCTGTCCTATTAGATCAGCCAGTAGTCACCCACCAGGGAACAACTCAGAGGCTTACTTTGGCTGTGCTTTCTCATCTGTGAGCAGTGAAAGCACCATGGGTGATGTGTGGAGCCCAAACCGATGAGCTCAGTGGTGTGCGTGCCGGCTTCGTGCAAGGTAATCTCCTTCCTAGATAGCTGTGAAGCTTTATAGCGTAGGCAGGAACTACTTGGTGCATCGAGTCAATGCATCCTCCAGGTACCCTGGCTGTGTTCCCGTCCGAGATACTTCTGCCCACTTTTGGCGAAGCTCGGCTTGGAAAAGCTGGGGATGTGGGCTTCTGGGGCTGCCCTGACTTCTCCTTCCAGGCAGACTTTTCTTGTCGGCAATCCTGAGCTTGGGCTTGGGCTGGCAAAATCTGAGTGAGAGAAGTGCAACAGCTGTACAGTGGAAATGGAAATTAGAGCTTCATTACTGAACAAAGAAGCAAACCACATAATATTCCTATTGGTTGTATATATTTAGAGAAAAAAGGTTATATTAAGATCTTTATAAAGCTCTTTATGTCCTTGTTTTGTTATGTCCATGTAAATCTTTCTATTACCATTGTTTCAAAAAGAAATAAATTTAACAAATGTTTCATTGCCTATTTTTTTCCAAATGGAAAACAAACAAACAAACCTCCTAGTAATAAATAATATCAGCAGTCACAAGAAATTGTACAGTAGCTAAACAATGAAGGCACATAGAAATGCTGTTTGTTTTATTCCTACACAAAGCCCCACTGAATTCACAGGAATGAATTAAATATGCTGCATGTGACTGGGACTCTGGGAAAGCAACACTTCAGTTAATACTGGTTTTAATTTTCCATTTTTATTAATTTGTTGTAAATTTGGATAATAACCTTAAAATAAAAGCCACTACAGAACTGCAAATGTATATGCATATAAAAGTACATTACTAATTCCTCTGAAAATCACCTTGTGTTCTTTCAATTCCTAAAAGAATATCCAGCAATATTACTAAATATTCACCAAAAATAGGTAACTGCAAAAAACTAGCATACCATTCCCTCTAATAACCTTTGCTTCGTAGTAAAAATGAGAAACACATACTTATTCCATCCACTATTTCTTATTTATGAATATGCTAGGAGGTTCCAGGTGCACGCAAAACCCTGACTGTACCAGTCATTTAATGATGGTGGAAAACACATTAATTTGGAAAAGGTTGTTCACCTTAAACCAAAAGCCCAAACTGTCTGTCCTTCTCCCTCCTCCTTCCCTTACGTTGCAAACTGTACGCTGTCAGTATTAACACCACCAAGATATTCAGTAACATTAGAGGCTTGAAGGTTTCCTGATGCTTTATTACACAATGATGAAAATATCGTAACACCTCTAACTTCATCAAATCGGGCATTTCATTACAGCATCCTGCAAGTATAGAAAACTGATTGTCTTGTGTCAGCATGGCCCGAATCCAGTTCTTGCATACAAGACACGGTTACTAATGATCTTTGCAAGTCAGCTGAGACTTGATCTTATTTTTTCAGTTTTGCCGCACCAGGAATTGTAAGTCAGAGCAGCAAATAGAAAGAGTTTATTACAGCTTATCATATAGTTGGTTTGACAAAATGGTCAATCAATAATAAACCAGAAATTAATAATTAATTGTACTTGCAATTTGCACAGCAGTTGATATCTCACGACAAGGCGAAGTCTGAGCTAAGGAATTATTATCAGCAATTTATAGAAGGGAGCTGCAGCTTTGGGGTTCTCCCTGCACCATCAGTACTAGTCGGAAAAGGATGGTACAGGGAGCTAGAAACCTCCTATTTTCTGCTTTACGTGCAAGGGCCTGATTCATCTGACTATGCTACCTAGAGGAATATCTGCACTGCCAGTTAAGTAGTGTATGGAGGGAACCATTTTTTAAGCACAGACTTGCCCCAAATCCTGAGTGCATGCCCAAAACCTTCATTCAGGTACAAACTTAGTCCAGCACATTCCTCACCTTGCAGGGTAAATTCACTATAAAGAATCATATCTCTTATGAATAAGATTAACAGAGGTCTGCTCAACCCCTTCTGCATACCTTTGCATCTCCTTTCTTCTTCACTTCCCAAACTGCAAGAGAAGAAAGGGGGCAGCTGACCAGCTACACACAAATTCAGAGTGCTCTCCAAGGCCTTCATTTGGCAATTCAGGCATAAACGAACCAAAGCAAGAAAGGAAGATCTGAGCCAGTGCTAAAATAATTTATCTAAGGCTACACAATGAGCCTGGCAGAACAGGAATAGCCCTGAAATCCTCCCCATTACAGTCCTGTGGATTCTTCACCACACAGTCTTAAAACTAAATGAATAAGTATCCTGAGAAGTCACGTTTGAAAAGACAGCTTGTACAATGCAATTGCTCCCATTTTGGGCCAGGGTAAAAGATCAGAATTGGAGCCAACCCAAGGCACAAAATACATAAAAAGGAAGCATGCTTTTTTTTGCATGTGAACAGTTTTCTCTTGAAACAGATAATTATTTGGGAGAACCATCTACTTCTATTCTCAAGCAGAAAAAAAAATAAATTGTCATGTTGTTCCATTTCTGTGTTATTCTGGTAATGTATTTTAGTGACTGTATGCATTTCTGATTATTCAGAATTGCTTCACAGAGAGATTGAATTTACATTTTATCTAGACACCAGTCTTACCCAGAAAGATCTTTTTCATTTCAGTGCTAGTTTGAAAATCCATTATTTGGTGTTCATCGGATGCAGGTTTTCATTTCCAGCAAGATTGCTGTGGCAGAAGAAATATAGACAAACTCAATGGCTTCACTAAGTGTGAGGTTTTTTTGTAATATGGAAAAAGCCTTTCGAGTTTCCCCGAGCACTGAGCTTGGAAAATGTGGGCCTGATTCTGGAAAATATGGTTTGTTTTCAGAGAGCGGTTTAGCATCCTCACCTCCCGCTTGGAATCTGCCTCTCCTACCTGGGCCCCTCCTTGCTTGCAGAATGGCTAATATTGGTTCCCCCGAGAAAACAAAATAATTTTGTATTTAAATCTAGGATTCTGAATCAAGTGGAAGTTCTGGTCCTGCAGCTCTTATGCAGTGTAATCTCAGTGATGAGAGCTGCTTTGGCAGCATCGATCCCCATCAGGTCCCTCAACTAATACTCAGGAGTTAAAGTTGTTTCAAATACAAAATTTTCTTCCTGTAAGAAAGTTTAGCATTAGTCAGTTCCAGTGGTCATGTGGGAAACCAGTCCTGATTATACTGTTAAACCATCTAGTCTAAGACAGGTAAAGTCTCTCTAGGGAGCCCAAAATATTTATCTATGACCTGGTGTCTCTGTCTGGTTCAGCCTTTGGGTAATACCTAGCACAGTGGTGCTTTGGTTCAGGTCAGGGGTCCTTTGTTGTTCCCAGGGTGGAAATACTTGTAGTCACTGTGAATTTTGAAAGAGTACCTGGACAAAACTGGAACTGCCGGTTGAAAAGTTGCTCATGAAGAATTTCATGAAAGATTCTGATTTAGAAATGTCAGCATGAGAGCATAGATATTTCAATTTGAACGTAAGTGATATAACTTTCTGTCAACTGTTCTATTTGAAACAGACCGTTAAATTAAATTAACAAGAAATGTGAATTTTAAGTTTATTCAGATTTTCTATGACCAGGTGACCCACCTAGTGGAGGAGGGAAAGGCTGTGGATGTGGTTTACCTGGACTTCAGTAAGGCCTTTGACACCGTCTCCCACAGCATTCTCCTAGAGAAGCTGGCGGCTCACGGCTTAGACAGGTGGACTCTGCGCTGGGTCAAAAACTGGCTGGACGGCCGGGCCCAGAGAGTGGTGGTGAATGGAGTTCAATCCAGCTGGCAGCCGGTCACGAGCGGTGTTCCCCAGGGCTCAGTTTTGGGGCCAGTTCTGTTCAATATCTTTATCAATGATCTGGATGAGGGGATCGAGTGCACCCTCAGTAAGTTTGCAGACGACACCAAGTTGGGCGGCAGTGTTGATCTGCGCGAGGGTAGGAAGGCTCTGCAGAGGGACCTGGACAGGCTGGATCGATGGGCCGAGGCCAACTGTATGAGATTCAACAAGGCCAAGTGCCGGGTCCTGCACTTCGGCCACAACAACCCCATGCAGCGCTACAGGCTTGGGGAAGAGTGGCTGGAAAGCTGCCTGGCGGAAAAGGACCTGGG